GCCCCCGGTCGGCCCCGGCCCGCGGCCTCACGTGAGCATGGCGACGCCGCGCGGCGTGGTGGGCGCGCTGTGGCGCCGCATGTGCGCGTGCATCTCGGGGAAGCTCTTGTTGATGTAGGCCTCGGCGCTGCTCTCCCACACCGTGCCGAAGCGGAAGCCCTGCGGCGGGCGGTGCAGCTGCGGGGGCCCCGCGTCATCCTCCCCGCCCGGCTGTGCGGGGCTCTCCACGTCGGCCGCGTCCTGCTCTGCGGCCCTGCAGTGGCCACCCACTCCCTCCCCAGTCACGACGGCTTAAGTGTCCCCAGACGCTGCCTACATTCCCTGGGGACGGAGAACCTCTGCTCCCAACTCCTGCACGTGTCCGTGTCCCCTCGGACCTCGCCCCAAACTCCAGACTCGGATCCCATGGCCGCCTCCGTGTCTCCTCTTGGGGTCCCACGGGAGCCCCAAACTCCTGAACTGACTCCCACACCTGACCCCGTGGGGCGTTTCTCCCTCTCTCCCCACGCCCCGTCCACCTGCAAACCCTTTTCAGATCACCTGGAACTGGCCACTGCTTGCCCTCCAGGGCCCCAACTGGGCGGGGCCCCATCATCCGTCCCCAGCACCGGTCCCCGCGTCAGTCCCCAGCACCGGTCCCCGCATCAGTCCCCATCATCAGCCCCTAGCACCGGTCCCCGCGTCAGTCCCCAGCATCCCTCCTGGACCAGCGCAGGAGCCCTGGTCTTCTGGACCCATGCCACGGTCTGTTCTTGCAGCTGCTGGAGAGATGCTTGTGCAAAACCCCTAATGAATAAATGAACCTGGCTGCTAAAGTCACACCAACCAATGCCTCCTGACAGGGTCCCACAGCACCACCGAAAAGCCAACCCTGAATGGGATCGAGACTCTAGAGCAGCACCGTACAGTGGAACTTTCCAGAAGGTGGAAACTTTGGGTATCTGTGCTGTCCAGGCCCGGCTACTGAACACTTACACTTAAGTGGCCACACATGGTGAGTGGCTAGTGTATTTCACAGCTCAGAGACTAGATTTGATTACCAGTTTACAGGGGATGTGGGGGGTGGACCTGGCAGAACAGTCTAAACACCTCCCATGGTCTAAACACCATGGTGGGAGATGCTAATAGGACAAAAAAACAAGGCCCTGCATGACCTGCCCCGTCCCCTCCCTGCCCGCCCCTTCTCTCTCTGTCCCCCTCGGTCACTCTGCTCCAGTGACACGGGCCTCCTCACTGTTCCTACAACATGCCAGGCTCAGTCCTGCCGCAGGACCTTTGCACGGGCTGTGCCTTCTGCCTGGAATGCTCTTGCCTGATAACTACATAAAAGTCCCTCAAGTGTCACCCCATCACAGAGGTCTCCCTGACCCCCTGAAAGACTCCCCATGTCGCCACTCATACTTTTCTCCCTGGTACTTTATCACCATCTCACATGCCTTCTGTTTTGCTTCTCTATCTTGATTCCTGTCTTCTGTGGGGATGGGGATCTTTGCCTGTTCTGAACCTGCAGGGTCCCCAAAGCCTCGTACACACTAGGCACTCAGTAAATATCTCTGGGGACAGGATTTGGCTGGGTGGGCATCCTCCCAGCTCTGAGCCCTACTCCCACCATGTCTCACGGACCCCCTGGTGCAGCCCAGCTTGGGGCAGCCCCCCTGGTCCCCACTAGCCACCCACCTTGGGGTCATGGATCCCTGACAGCTCCTCGAAGGTCTTGTCCCCGACCATGACGGCGGCCAGGTTGGCCGTGTAGCTGGACAGCACCAGCAAGCAGAAGATGGCCCAGAGGTTCATGAGGAAGCGCCCCGTGGCGCACTTGGGAGTCTTGCTGGAGACAGTGCGTCCGAAAAGGATGGCGTAGCAGAGGTTGAGGGCCGAGGAGTAGGAGAACACCGTGTCCCGGTTGCGGCCCCGGGGCGTGAGGCCATAGGGGCTGCGCCACTCATAAAGGGTGAGGAAGAGCGCGGTGAGGTGCAGGGCCGCGAAGATGCCCACCCACATGGACCAGTGCAGCGGCCACATGAAGGCGCCAATGGGTGAGGCTGTGTCCCGCGCCCGCA